TTTGGCTTTTGGGTTCCGGCCAAATCTGAAAAATGAGGGGGGTCATTTCTGCCATAAGTTTTCTTTGCTAACATAACTGACTCATTTGGGCCCTTAGGATTTTGGATCTTGGGTTATGGGTTTTGCGTTTTGGATTTTGGCTTTTTGATTTTGGGTTTTGGCCAATTCTGAAAAATGAGAGGGTCATTTCTGCCATATGAATTCTTTGCTAAACAAAAGTGACCGATTCCAGATGTAATTATGTAAGCACTAATTATGTAAGCAATTAGATGGCAGAGATTGCAGAAATGTTCCCAATTTTTCCAAGAGCTTGCGGAATCAGTTTGGGATTAGGATTTAGGGTCTAGGATTTAGAATTTAGGATTCTGGCTTAGGATTTAGGATGGATTTAAGGTTAGGATTTAGCATTTAGGATTCGGATTTAAGATTTAGGAATTGGGATTTAGGATTGAGGGTCCAGCGCCAACTCTGGGCCTTTAGGACACAACACACGTCCCGCGTGGTGGTGTGCGCGGAGCAGGAGAAACCCGAAACCCTCAACCCTCAAACGGGTTTAGGGTTTAGGGTTTAGGGTTTAGGGTTTAGGGTTTAGGGTTTAGGGTTTAGGGTTTAGGGTTTAGGGTTTAGGGTTTAGGGTCTAAACCCTAAACCCTAAACCCTAAACCCTAAACCCTAAACCCTAAACCCTAAACCCTAAACCCTAAACCCTAAACCCTAAACCCTAAACCCTAAACCCTAAACCCTACCCCCGGCCTCCAGAAGCACTGAGCGGAGGCCACAGCGATGGGACTGTGGAACGTACTCCGGATGCTTGCTGCCATGTGCCTGAGAGTTCGATGGCTGGGATCCTGGTGTCTCATGCGGCTCCTTTAGTTCCCCATTGTACCAACGGTCCTTAATAGAGATTATAGTAACCCCTATTATCATCCCTCTTCCCTGAATAGAGGTTATAGTACCCCTATTCTCATCCCTCTTAAGGACTGTTAGTATAGGGGGAACATCCCAACCGACGTGCTTCTTCATTCGTCCAGAGGTGCGGGTTTCGGTTGTTGTTTCAAGCATGTGCCAAGGTTGTGGGACCGCCCTGGGATTTTCTGGGACCCTCCTGGACAACCCCCTAAGACTGCTCACACCTCCATACCTTCTTGAGTACCCCTAAACCCTAAACCCTAAACCCTAAACCCTAAACCCTAAACCCTAAACCCTAAACCCTAAACCCTAAACCCTAAACCCTAAACCCTAAACCCTAAACCCTAAACCCTCACCCTAAACCCCAAACCCTAGAACCTCCAAGCAGTGGAGGTCCGAGGCCAGCACGTGGAGCCACACCCAGACGGGAGAGGGCAAGTCGGTCGAGCCGCCGCGCGCCCGCCAGCTTTGCAGGAGCTCCTTTGGTAGGGTTTAGGGTTTAGGGTTTAGGGTTTAGGGTTTAGGGTTTAGGGTTTGGGGTTTAGGGTTTAGGGTTTAGGGTTGAGGGTTTCGGGTTGAGGGCTTTCACGGGGCATTGTTGGGCAGTTTTGCGGGGCTGCTTGACATTATGGGCAACATCCACCTATACCCCTATACGCCTGACGTTGGAACCCCTTGGTGTCGACACACTCTTCGGGGAATTTACACACGGCAGCCGAAACAACAGCACAAAACAAAGAGACGACACCGAGCTTCCTCGGAAGAAACCACAACGAAGCGGCTTTGAAGGCTTCATCGCGCCCACGCTCGGACAACTCGGGTTTAGGGTTTAGGGTTTAGGGTTTAGGGTTTAGGGTTTAGGGTTTAGGCTTTAGGGTTTAGGCTTTAGGCTTTAGGCTTTAGGCTTTAGGCTTTAGGCTTTAGGCTTTAGGCTCTAGGCTTTAGGCTTTATGGTTTACGGCTTCAGAAGGTTCTTTCATGGGCTGTAGCCACTTCAGGGTTGCTCAGTCCGGTGCCTTGTACCAGCGTCGGCATTTGTTGGGTTTCGAGGCACACGAGGAGCAAACAAGGCAAGATTGGGGGCCTAGGGGCCCTAAACCTTAAAACCCTAAACCCTAAACCCTAAACCCCAAACCCCATAAGGTTCGGGTTTCGGGACAAACTGGATACAAGGAATCTCACTCCTGGCACGGTAAGGGCCGTAGGGTGCCAGGGCTTTTTTGCGGGGCCATATGATGTAGGGTTTATAGGGCTTACAGGGCTTGCGGTTAATAGGCTTCGCAAGTGAAGTCCCTTGTCTGCTCCTGTGCAAAGCCGGACATGCTATAAACAGTATTTTTGCACCAGGGTTTAGGGTGTCTTGTTAGGATTTAAGGTTTAGGGTCTTGACCCTCGTTCGTTATATGGGGGTTTCTCAAATCAGGGGTACCGTCTTGGGGCCCTTATTTTAAGGGAAGTCCTACTATTTGGGGGACTATATGAGGGGCCCCCCAAACCCTAAACCCAAACACCCTAAACCCTAAACCCTTTTTGCAACTGGACTGCGTACAGTTAAACCCTAAAGCCTAAACCCTAAACCCTCGGAAGAGCAACCGGCTTCGCAGCCTCGGAAAAGGGGCCAACGCGACTGAGGAGATGCCGAGACATGAACCTCGAGTCCAGGTATTTAGGATGTTTTAGCTTAGGGTTTAGGGTTTAGGGGTTTAGGGGTTTAGGGTTTCGGGTTTAGGGTTTAGGGTTTGGGGTTTAGGATGTAGGGTTGAGGGTTGAGGGTTGAGGGTTGAGGGTTGAGGGTTGAGGGTTGAGGATTGAGTGTCCGAGAAATGAGGAACCAAGTTCCCGCAACCCTGAACCCTCAGCCCGAAACCCTCAACCCCAAACCTTCAACCCTCAACCCTAACCCTGAACCCTAAACCCTAAACCCTCAACCTGGGGGAAACCACAATCATCTACTCATCTACACCGCGTGCCGTTTACAGCTAGCAGAAACTTTCACGCTACCAGGGCTAGCCTCCCACAGCTTCAACCAAACAAGCGTAGCAAGCTCTCTGCATGGTATGGTGTGTGGGCTAGGGCCCAGGGCTCAGTGAACTGCACCTTATATAACCCCAAACCCTTGAAGCATTGAGAACGAGTAAGCAAGCTTAGGGTTCAGAGCCCCTTATATACCATATACAACCCAAGGGCCCATGCTTCAGAACCATGTTAAAGGAGCTAGGGCCTTATACCTACTCTTAGATATGAAGCTGGCGTGCATACACCTACCGATGCATCAGCCCCCATCCCTTCTCTCATCCTCATGTGTCGTGCTTAAGACAACCATTGCGGCTGGACTTGGGGCTACGGATGTTCATAGAGTTCGGAGACACGCAGGATGCAAAGAGGTGCTGCCAAATCAGGTGCAAGCCATTCTCTGGTTGAGGGCTATGCCGTGAGCTGAGACAAATGGTGTGAGGAGCAATCCACAGATCCTGGTTTTCCTCCGAACTTCTAAGCCCCCATCTTCGGCCCTCAAAACAGCCTAAAGCATCCTTCACAGCCCTTAGCCCCTGGGTTCTTAGTAGGGAATGAGGGGATTGGGGCCCTGTATATGTATATATATATATATATATACCCTTTAAGGGATTACATACGGTACCTCATTCCCTCATTCCCTGCTAAGAACCAGCCAGTAAGTTCTCAGTCCCAAAGCCCGTAAGCCGGGAAGTCGTCGTCTTCCAGATGCTTTGGTGACGCGCGGAGGACGCCACACTGGATCGCCTGTGGAGTTTGGTTTAGAAAAGGGAGTTTAGGGTTTAGGGTTTTAGGGTTTAGGGTTTAGGGTTTAGGGTTTAGGGTTTAGGGTTTAGGGTTTAGGGTTTAGGGTTTAGGGTTTAGGGTTTAAGGTGCAGGGTTTAGTGCCCAGGGTCTGCAAAGGCAAGGCCTCCACGAAAAGTCTTTGATGCAACCCTTCCGGCCTTCACTCTACACTAAACCCTAAACCCTAAACCCTAAACCCTAAACCCTAAACCCTAAACCCTAAACCCTAAACGAATGCAAGCCCCACAGAGGCTTCGTCCCCGCCTTTGGATGTAGATCAATTCCCGCAAGCATTTCCACACACCCCAAACCCTAAACCCTAACCCGGCATTCCAGCCTCAGCATAGCCTGCCGTCGACTGGACAGACCAAACACGCACCACCATGAGAGGAGGCGCCAAGATTCAGAGGTTTGCACTTCATTTGAGAGGAGCAAGGTTGAAGATTTCCGGCTTGCTCTCGCCCTATAAGGTCGGCAACCCCTCCATGGAGGATCCAAGCCCCCAAACCCTAAACCCTAAACCCTAAACCCTAAACCCTAAACCCTAAACCCTAAACCCCACACCCCAAACCCTAACCCCACCGAGACTTGCTCTGCAGATGCGCTGTGGTCGTGTTGAGCCAGCCGGCCGGCAGAAGCAGAAAGGTCCAGTGCAGCTTACGATGCAGCATCCAACCGTCAAGCCCTAAACCCTAAACCCTAAACCCTAAACCCTAAATCTCAAAGCGTTGCATGTTATAGCGCTGGGGCTCAGCAGGCGCCATCAATGAAAGCCGGGGTCCTGCCCCCCAAGCTTGGAAAATGCTTAAAGCAGCGATGCGCGCGCAGCGGAGAAGCATTCACAATATGCTGACATATTCATATGCAAGTAAAGCAACTAATATGAGAAGGTCATATTGTAAGTTATATAATAACGTGATTTGCAGATCCGCTGCCTGTGCCCCGAGCGAAGAAAAGTCGGTCAATCGCCGAATGCTGTGCAAGAACTCCGCCCCCGGCTTCGACGGAGTCTTTCTTCCCCAAGATCCAAGGAGAGCGGGCTCAGGGTTTAGGAAGGTTTAGGGGTTTCATAGGGGTCTTCTGTACAAAGACGTCATGAAGTTGATCCACGCTTCGGAGCTTGGAGAATGAAGTAGTTGGCTGTAGAGTGAATCTCAGGCTTTCAGGAAGGCCCATCAGGGCCTTTAAGCCCGAAATTTCTCGGAGGTTCGGGCCTCCGAAATTCTCGGAGATCCCGTAAAACAAAAAAAACCGTCTGCGTTGAGAGCGTCTGGGTTCTACTGGTCTGCCACTCACACAATCGTGCCGTTGTTGTAAAGGGCTGAGCATGCGTCGCAGGTGGCGGCACAAAGCACAGCAGCTTGCACTGGAAGGGCTTCACATAGCCCCAGTTGGTGAGCTTGCGCACAGTCACTGACGGGCAGGTTGGTCGGGAAGATCGCTGTATCCTTGCAGCCCTCGCAGCTGCGGGGGCACCATTCCGTCAGCGCGGCGGAGGTGTGGCAGCCGCAGGTCTGCGGGCACCAGGCCGCAAGGGGAGCGTAAAACAGCGAGCTGCCTGAACACCACGGGCTGCGTGTGACAGGGTCCATGGTCACAATGTCGAGGCCAGGACACCCGACTTTCTTGACGTGAGCCAAAAAGTCCGGCAGGAAGCTGAGGCTGGGACTGCTGAGGTTGACTCCCACCCTCTGCTCCACCAAGGGCCGGTAGCTGTCCCAGAACACCTCCCATTCCTCTCGAAGGTGAGGGCTCTCCTCAAAGTCCACGTCCTCGCAGGCTGTGAAGCGCATGGCGGTGTCACGCTCAGTGAAACAGGCGCTCGAGCAACCCTCTCCCACAAGCTTCAGCATCGGATTCGCGTGCTGCAGGTGGCATCCGCACGTGCGCGGACACACGTGCCGCACGAGGCGTGCACTGGGCTCCAGCGAACTGCAGAGGTGCGCCATCTCTGCGCAGCTGGCTCCATCTGGAAATCCTGCTTCGAAGCTGGCCGAGTAGAAGTACGGGCGGTAGAACTCCTGAAGCTCATGGGTAGCATTGCCCAGGAAGATCTCGTCAAAGTCAATGCAGAGACTGTCATGTACGTTGCGGTGGTACATCGATATCTCTTTGGCCAACACGAAGTCGGCTCGATCCTTGCCGAAACGGATGTAGTTCGAGGTTCCCAGAGGCTCTTGCCAAATGTGCCGTCTCACAGCGAAGCGGATGAGCGACGTCTGGTTGAGGTGGTCGCTTTGGTCGGCATACTCCGAGGTCACCAGTCCCGCCGTGATCCCCTGCAACTGATTGTCCGCCACCACGAAATTCTGAGTGCCCCCACAGTACTGGCGCTTGACTTCAATCATGTCCCAGCTCAGCGGCCCTACGTTGTACATCCAGGGCCACAGCATGAGACATGTGATCCCCACGAGCAGCATGATGGACTCCGCCTGACTTCGCCCTTTGCTGTAGGGCACCTTGATGGCCTCGAGATCCTGGATGCAGATCTGGATCTTCTTCGGCATCAGCGCTGCGAAGACCATCTCGTCGATCTGCAGAACGGCGGATAAGGCCACGGCGTTCAGGATGAGCTCGGTGATGGAGATCGTGCCGGCCAGCCACTGCACGCCTGCGTAGAGGAGGCCCACGGCGATCATGAAGCGCGACAGGCGCATGAAGCAGTAGATGGCAAAGCGGCCGTAAGAGATCGTTTGGAAGCTTCCGCGCCGTCTCCACTGCGTTCGGGGCCCGCGGGGCAGTTGGGACACCGCCTCCAAGGAGAAGACCACTTGTCGGAACTCATTGAGGAGGTACAAACACCAAAGCAGGATGCACATCATGCAGAGTAGAACGCCGGGTTGGAAGTAGGGGGCTTCGAAATCTGCTTTGCCCAGGCCGATGAAGGCGTTGATCTGGTCCAGCATCTGCATCTGTGGAGTAGACAAAATCAGCGTGCCATCACCTCTGCAGACTCGGGACACGAGGCTCTCGTCCCCCAAGTCCATGTGCTTGAAGTCGTGCGCGATAGACTCGCGCCAGGCTTTCGCAACCTCCACCTGCTTCCCAAAGGGCTCTCCAAGAAAATCTTCCGACAGAAGGATGAGGAAGAAGGAGATTTGCATCAAACCGCTGGCGAGCCAGAGAAAGCAGGCGATCGCAAGGTCTAATTGGCCAGAGTCGGTGTGGCCCAAGACAAGGACCTTAGTTGCTGAGTTCAGAAGCCCCCCAAAAAAAGTGCACACTTTCAGTTCTAGAGGGGATTCTCGTATCCCAAAAAGTGTCAGGTGTACTCATTCAGCTACTAAGGGACCAAGTTCCACGCCGTCTCGAGGAAAGCCACAGGCTCCTCCACGACATCGCCCGGCAAGGAGCCCAGAGATCTCCTGAGTTGTGCTTTTGAACCCAAATTTACTTATGCATTTTGGTTCCCTTAGAAAGGAAAGAAGGGAAATTATAAAAGAAAAATATCCCCCAAGCACAACCCAGTCTCTCTTTGAGATACTTCTCTTCGCCCGGCTTGCCGAGCTCGTCGTCGAGCGACTCTATCGTCGCTTGATGATGCTCCATGGCAGCCTGTGCCACCTCGCGCACAACCTCCTGCACTGCGCCGGCCCGAGCGGCCCCACCGGCCCCCGTTCCGACGGACAGGGAGGCAGAACCTTTCTCTTCGAAGGAGTCATCAAGTTCGATGGAAACAAATGGCTGGGCCTGGGGCTTCTGGTCATGGGCCTCCCCCTCCAGCATTCGATCGAGGTCGACTTGAACAAAGTCGGCCGCATCGGCCTCATTGCCTGCATTCGGTTCCACACTGTGACAAGGAATCGACTTGGACTCCACACCTTGGTAGCCCAGGAACCATATCTTAACAAGGGCACCACCCTTCTTGGGCTTGGCGATTTTATCAAGGGAACCCATAACCCAAGAAAAATGGTAAAAAGGCTAACCACTGGGCTACCAAGATACTGCTGGAAAGCCCTGTGACTTGGGACCGCAGGGCTTTCATCTGCTGGGCATAGGGCTGCATCTGCTTGGCCACCTGGCGCGCGAGGTCCTTTCGGAACTCCTCACGCAATCGCGCCTCGAGGTTCATGATGGCCTTCTCCAGTTTCACCTTCACTGAACTTGAGGAACCCTACCAAAAACTTGGAACCCTACCAAAAAATACTATGGTTTCTTTGCTGTTTCTTAAGATTGTTTTAATTCCCAAAAAATCCGAAAAAAATCTTCCAAAGCATCCCTAAGCAACTGCAGACAAGCCCGTCGCCATGGCTGCTTTGAAATGGCTGCTCTTTGAAAAATGAAGCTACAAGACCATCGTCCTTGAGCCAGCCCTACGGAGATAGAAGCAGCTCAAAAAGGACGCCCTCAACCCTACACCCTAAACCCTAAACCCTAAACCCTAAACCCTAAACCCTAAACCCTAAACCCTAAACCCTAAACCCTAAACCCTACACCCTAAACCCTTTAAACCCTAAACCCAAAGGACGCCTCTCAGGTCCGACATGGTTGCCACCGGAACTAGAGCAGCACTACACAGGGGGGCTTTGCGATATCAGGGGTCCCTTACCCTTACTGGGGTCCCTACTATAAGGGGATCCTACTATTTGGAGGTCTATTTTGGGGCTTTCCCATTTTCTCGTAAACCCCGTGTGGGTTCTGCACATCGCCGGCCTCTTGGCATGGTTCATCAATGAAACTCCCTGGTTCTTAGTAGGGAATGAGGGCATCAGTTACCCGATTTAACCCGGTAAAGGGTATGTATATATATATATATATATATAGGGTACCTCATTCCCTGATTCCCTACTAAGAACCAGGGTGTGAAAGCCGAGGTCCTGTCGGAGCTCCCCCAAGGCTTGGAAAATGCCTGAAATTGACCAGTTCGCGGCTAAAAAGCATTTTGCAGATCCGCAGCCTGTGAACCCTAAACCCTAAACCCTAAACCCGAAGCCCTAAACCCTAAACCCTACAGCCAGAACACTGTCCAAGACTCCGCCGCAAAACCTGGCAGTTTCAACCTCGGGTCGGCAAGCCCCAGGTCCACATTCGACAGAGTCTTTCTTCCCCAAGATCCACGGAAAGCAAGTTGGGGTGCAGGGTTTAGGGTTTAGGTTTTAGGGTTCCGGATTTAGGGTTTAGGGTTTAGAGTAGAGGGTTTAGGGTTGAGGGTTGAGGGTTGAGGGTTTCGGTCCTAAACTAACAATAAACTTAGAAGACAACGTGAGGTTGATTTCGGGTTTGGAGAATGGAGTATCTGGCGATAGAGTGAAATTCTGGCTTTAAGGAAGGCCCGTCAGGCCCCGCAGAAGCCCGAAATTTCTTGGAGCTTTGGGCAATCCAAATTCCCGGAGCTCCAGTTGGGAAGACAGTATGTATTGGGAGCGTCTGGGTTCTACTGGTCTGCCACTCACACAATCGTGCCGTTGTTGTAAAGGGCTGAGCATGCGTCGCAGGTGGCGGCACAAAGCACAGCAGCTTGCACTGGAAGGGCTTCACATAGCCCCAGTTGGTGAGCTTGCGCACAGTCACTGACGGGCAGGTTGGTCGGGAAGATCGCTGTATCCTTGCAGCCCTCGCAGCTGCGGGGGCACCATTCCGTCAGCGTGGCGGAGGTGTGGCAGCCGCAGGTCTGCGGGCACCAGGCCGCAAGGGGGGCATAAAACAGCGAGCTGCCTGAACACCACGGGCTGCGTGTGACAGGGTCCATGGTCACAATGCCGAGGCCAGGACACCCGACTTTCTTGACGTGAGCCAAAAAGTCCGGCAGGAAGCTGAGGCTGGGACTGCTGAGGTTGACTCCCACCCTCTGCTCCACCAAGGGCCGGTAGCTGTCCCAGAACACCTCCCATTCCTCTCGAAGGTGAGGGCTCTCCTCAAAGTCCACGTCCTCGCAGGCTGTAAAGCGCATGGCGGTGTCACGCTCAGTGAAACAGGCGCTCGAGCAACCCTCTCCCACAAGCTTCAGCATCGGATTCGCGTGCTGCAGGTGGCATCCGCACGTGCGCGGACACACGTGCCGCACGAGGCGTGCACTGGGCTCCAGCGAACTGCAGAGGTGCGCCATCTCTGCGCAGCTGGCTCCATCTGGAAATCCTGCTTCGAAGCTGGCCGAGTAGAAGTACGGGCGGTAGAACTCCTGAAGCTCATGGGTAGCATTGCCCAGGAAGATCTCGTCAAAGTCAATGCAGAGACTGTCATGTACGTTGCGGTGGTACATCGATATCTCTTTGGCCGACACGAAGTCGGCTCGATCCTTGCCGAAACGGATGTAGTTCGAGGTTCCCAAAGGCTCTTGCCAGATGTGCCGTCTCACAGCGAAGCGGATGAGCGACGTCTGGTTGAGGTGGTCGCTTTGGTCGGCATACTCCGAGGTCACCAGTCCCGCCGTGATCCCCTGCAACTGATTGTCCGCCACCACGAAATTCTGAGTGCCCCCACAGTACTGGCGCTTGACTTCAATCATGTCCCAGCTCAGCGGCCCTACGTTGTACATCCAGGGCCACAGCATGAGACATGTGATCCCCACGAGCAGCATGATGGACTCCGTCTGACTTCGCCCTTTGCTGTAGGGCACCTTGATGGCCTCGAGATCCTGGATGCAGATCTGGATCTTCTTCGGCATCAGCGCTGCGAAGACCATCTCGTCGATCTGCAGAACGGCGGATAAGGCCACGGCGTTCAGGATGAGCTCGGTGATGGAGATCGTGCCGGCCAGCCACTGCACGCCTGCGTAGAGGAGGCCCACGGCGATCATGAAGCGCGACAGGCGCATGAAGCAGTAGATGGCAAAGCGGCCGTAAGAGATCGTTTGAAAGCTTCCGCGCCTTCTCCACTGCGTTCGGGGCCCGCGGGGCAGTTGGGACACCGCCTCCAAGGAGAAGACCACTTGTCGGAACTCATTGAGGAGGTACAAACACCAAAGCAGGATGCACATCATGCAGAGTAGAACGCCGGGTTGGAAGTAGGGGGCTTCGAAATCTGCTTTGCCCAGGCCGATGAAGGCGTTGATCTGGTCCAGCATCTGCATCTGTGGAGTAGACAAAATCAGCGTGCCATCACCTCTGCAGACTCGGGACACGAGGCTCTCGTCCCCCAAGTCCATGTGCTTGAAGTCGTGCGCGATAGACTCGCGCCAGGCTTTCGCAACCTCCACCTGCTTCCCAAAGGGCTCTCCAAGAAAATCTTCCGACAGAAGGATGAGGAAGAAGGAGATTTGCATCAAACCGCTGGCGAGCCAGAGAAAGCAGGCGATCGCAAGGTCTAATTGGCCAGAGTCGGTGTGGCCCAAGACAAGGACCTTAGTTGCTGAGTTCAGAAGCCCCCCAAAAAAAGTGCACACTTTCAGTTCTAGAGGGGATTCTCGTATCCCAAAAAGTGTCAGGTGTACTCATTCAGCTACTAAGGGACCAAGTTCCACGCCGTCTCGAGGAAAGCCACAGGCTCCTCCACGACATCGCCCGGCAAGGAGCCCAGAGATCTCCTGAGTTGTGCTTTTGAACCCAAATTTACTTATGCATTTTGGTTCCCTTAGAAAGGAAAGAAGGGAAATTATAAAAGAAAAATATCCCCCAAGCACAACCCAGTCTCTCTTTGAGATACTTCTCTTCGCCCGGCTTGCCGAGCTCGTCGTCGAGCGACTCTATCGTCGCTTGATGATGCTCCATGGCAGCCTGTGCCACCTCGCGCACAACCTCCTGCACTGCGCCGGCCCGAGCGGCCCCACCGGCCCCCGTTCCGACGGACAGGGAGGCAGAACCTTTCTCTTCGAAGGAGTCATCAAGTTCGATGGAAACAAATGGCTGGGCCTGGGGCTTCTGGTCATGGGCCTCCCCCTCCAGCATTCGATCGAGGTCGACTTGAACAAAGTCGGCCGCATCGGCCTCATTGCCTGCATTCGGTTCCACACTGTGACAAGGAATCGACTTGGACTCCACACCTTGGTAGCCCAGGAACCATATCTTAACAAGGGCACCACCCTTCTTGGGCTTGGCGATTTTATCAAGGGAACCCATAACCCAAGAAAAATGGTAAAAAGGCTAACCACTGGGCTACCAAGATACTGCTGGAAAGCCCTGTGACTTGGGACCGCAGGGCTTTCATCTGCTGGGCATAGGGCTGCATCTGCTTGGCCACCTGGCGCGCGAGGTCCTTTCGGAACTCCTCACGCAATCGCGCCTCGAGGTTCATGATGGCCTTCTCCAGTTTCACCTTCACTGAACTTGAGGAACCCTACCAAAAACTTGGAACCCTACCAAAAAATACTATGGTTTCTTTGCTGTTTCTTAAGATTGTTTTAATTCCCAAAAAAATCCGAAAAAAATCTTCCAAAGCATCCCTAAGCAACTGCAGACAAGCCCGTCGCCATGGCTGCTTTGAAATGGCTGCTCTTTGAAAAATGAAGCTACAAGACCATCGTCCTTGAGCCAGCCCTACGGAGATAGAAGCAGCTCAAAAAGGACGCCCTCAACCCTACACCCTAAACCCTAAACCCTAAACCCTAAACCCTAAACCCTAAACCCTAAACCCTAAACCCTAAACCCTACACCCTAAACCCTATAAACCCTAAACCCAAAGGACGCCTCTCAGGTCCGACATGGTTGCCACCGGAACTAGAGCAGCACTACACAGGGGGGCTTTGCGATATCAGGGGTCCCTTACCCTTACTGGGGTCCCTACTATAAGGGGATCCTACTATTTGGAGGTCTATTTTGGGGCTTTCCCATTTTCTCGTAAACCCCGTGTGGGTTCTGCACATCGCCGGCCTCTTGGCATGGTTCATCAATGAAACTCCCTGGTTCTTAGTAGGGAATGAGGGCATCAGTTACCCGATTTAACCCGGTAAAGGGTATGTATATATATATATATATATATAGGGTACCTCATTCCCTGATTCCCTACTAAGAACCAGGGTGTGAAAGCCGAGGTCCTGTCGGAGCTCCCCCAAGGCTTGGAAAATGCCTGAAATTGACCAGTTCGCGGCTAAAAAGCATTTTGCAGATCCGCAGCCTGTGAACCCTAAACCCTAAACCCTAAACCCGAAGCCCTAAACCCTAAACCCTACAGCCAGAACACTGTCCAAGACTCCGCCGCAAAACCTGGCAGTTTCAACCTCGGGTCGGCAAGCCCCAGGTCCACATTCGACAGAGTCTTTCTTCCCCAAGATCCACGGAAAGCAAGTTGGGGTGCAGGGTTTAGGGTTTAGGTTTTAGGGTTCCGGATTTAGGGTTTAGGGTTTAGAGTAGAGGGTTTAGGGTTGAGGGTTGAGGGTTGAGGGTTTCGGTCCTAAACTAACAATAAACTTAGAAGACAACGTGAGGTTGATTTCGGGTTTGGAGAATGGAGTATCTGGCGATAGAGTGAAATTCTGGCTTTAAGGAAGGCCCGTCAGGCCCCGCAGAAGCCCGAAATTTCTTGGAGCTTTGGGCAATCCAAATTCCCGGAGCTCCAGTTGGGAAGACAGTATGTATTGGGAGCGTCTGGGTTCTACTGGTCTGCCACTCACACAATCGTGCCGTTGTTGTAAAGGGCTGAGCATGCGTCGCAGGTGGCGGCACAAAGCACAGCAGCTTGCACTGGAAGGGCTTCACATAGCCCCAGTTGGTGAGCTTGCGCACAGTCACTGACGGGCAGGTTGGTCGGGAAGATCGCTGTATCCTTGCAGCCCTCGCAGCTGCGGGGGCACCATTCCGTCAGCGTGGCGGAGGTGTGGCAGCCGCAGGTCTGCGGGCACCAGGCCGCAAGGGGGGCATAAAACAGCGAGCTGCCTGAACACCACGGGCTGCGTGTGACAGGGTCCATGGTCACAATGCCGAGGCCAGGACACCCGACTTTCTTGACGTGAGCCAAAAAGTCCGGCAGGAAGCTGAGGCTGGGACTGCTGAGGTTGACTCCCACCCTCTGCTCCACCAAGGGCCGGTAGCTGTCCCAGAACACCTCCCATTCCTCTCGAAGGTGAGGGCTCTCCTCAAAGTCCACGTCCTCGCAGGCTGTAAAGCGCATGGCGGTGTCACGCTCAGTGAAACAGGCGCTCGAGCAACCCTCTCCCACAAGCTTCAGCATCGGATTCGCGTGCTGCAGGTGGCATCCGCACGTGCGCGGACACACGTGCCGCACGAGGCGTGCACTGGGCTCCAGCGAACTGCAGAGGTGCGCCATCTCTGCGCAGCTGGCTCCATCTGGAAATCCTGCTTCGAAGCTGGCCGAGTAGAAGTACGGGCGGTAGAACTCCTGAATCTCATGGGTAGCATTGCCCAGGAAGATCTCGTCAAAGTCAATGCAGAGACTGTCATGTACGTTGCGGTGGTACATCGATATCTCTTTGGCCGACACGAAGTCGGCTCGATCCTTGCCGAAACGGATGTAGTTCGAGGTTCCCAAAGGCTCTTGCCAGATGTGCCGTCTCACAGCGAAGCGGATGAGCGACGTCTGGTTGAGGTGGTCGCTTTGGTCGGCATACTCCGAGGTCACCAGTCCCGCCGTGATCCCCTGCAACTGATTGTCCGCCACCACGAAATTCTGAGTGCCCCCACAGTACTGGCGCTTGACTTCAATCATGTCCCAGCTCAGCGGCCCTACGTTGTACATCCAGGGCCACAGCATGAGACATGTGATCCCCACGAGCAGCATGATGGACTCCGCCTGACTTCGCCCTTTGCTGTAGGGCACCTTGATGGCCTCGAGATCCTGGATGCAGATCTGGATCTTCTTCGGCATCAGCGCTGCGAAGACCATCTCGTCGATCTGCAGAACGGCGGATAAGGCCACGGCGTTCAGGATGAGCTCGGTGATGGAGATCGTGCCGGCCAGCCACTGCACGCCTGCGTAGAGGAGGCCCACGGCGATCATGAAGCGCGACAGGCGCATGAAGCAGTAGATGGCAAAGCGGCCGTAAGAGATCGTTTGGAAGCTTCCGCGCCGTCTCCACTGCGTTCGGGGCCCGCGGGGCAGTTGGGACACCGCCTCCAAGGAGAAGACCACTTGTCGGAACTCATTGAGGAGGTACAAACACCAAAGCAGGATGCACATCATGCAGAGTAGAACGCCGGGTTGGAAGTAGGGTGCTTCGAAATCTGCTTTGCCCAGGCCGATGAAGGCGTTGATCTGGTCCAGCATCTGCATCTGTGGAGTAGACAAAATCAGCGTGCCATCACCTCTGCAGACTCGGGACACGAGGCTCTCGTCCCCCAAGTCCATGTGCTTGAAGTCGTGCGCGATAGACTCGCGCCAGGCTTTCGCAACCTCCACCTGCTTCCCAAAGGGCTCTCCAAGAAAATCTTCCGACAGAAGGATGAGGAAGAAGGAGATTTGCATCAAACCGCTGGCGAGCCAGAGAAAGCAGGCGATCGCAAGGTCTAATTGGCCAGAGTCGGTGTGGCCCAAGACAAGGACCTTAGTTGCTGAGTTCAGAAGCCCCCCAGAAAAAGTGCACACTTTCAGTTCTAGACTAGAGGGGATTCTCGTATCCCAAAAAGTGTCAGGTGTACTCATTCAGCTACTAAGGGACCAAGTTCCACGCCGTCTCGAGGAAAGCCACAGGCTCCTCCACGACATCGCCCGGCAAGGAGCCCAGAGATCTCCTGAGTTGTGCTTTTGAACCCAAATTTACTTATGCATTTTGGTTCCCTTAGAAAGGAAAGAAGGGAAATTATAAAAGAAAAATATCCCCCAAGCACAACCCAGTCTCTCTTTGAGATACTTCTCTTCGCCCGGCTTGCCGAGCTCGTCGTCGAGCGACTCTATCGTCGCTTGATGATGCTCCATGGCAGCCTGTGCCACCTCGCGCACAACCTCCTGCACTGCGCCGGCCCGAGCGGCTTCGATCGAGGTCGACTTGAACAAAGTCGGCCTCATCGGCCTCATTGCCTGCATTCGGTTCCACACTGTGACAAGGAATCGACTTGGACTCCACACCTTGGTAGCCCAGGAGCCATATCTTAACAAGGGCACCACCCTTCTTGGGCTTGGCGATTTTATAAAGGGAACCCATAACCCAATAAAAATGATGAAAAGGGTAACCACTGGGCTACCAAGATACTGCTGGAGAGCCCTGTGACTTGGGACCGCAGGGCTTTCATCTGCTGGGCATATGGCTGCATCTGCTTGGCCACCTGGCGCACGAGGTCCTTTCGGAACTCCTCACGCAATCGCGCCTCGAGGTTCATGATGGCCTTCTCCAGTTTCACCTTCACTGAACTTGGGGGGGAACCCTACCAAAAGCTT